ATGTCGATATAGTACTCAGGCATGGGCACTGACAAATTTTAGTTATTTTGCTTAAGGATATATTTGTAAAGATCCTATCACCTAGGAGTACCAGTAAAAATAACAAAATTCCTTTGTCTCCCAACATGTTTAAAAGTAGCTGTCAATTTGTCAAGAGACAAATTAATTGTACATCAGAGTTTAGAATCTACCAAATCTGTCCAACATTGCTTAATAGTCATGGTTAAAAAAAATAGCTATTGAAAAAAGTAAACTTTATTTTCTTGAAATCTTTTATTTCAAAGTACACATAAGGATTCAGGATATTATTTTTAAATCCTTTAAATTCCTGTATGAGTAATAATGCCTTTGATTAGAATATTTGCTGATTGCAGAAAATATCACATTTTAAACTTTCCCTTTCTGCTCTTCAAAATGAAATATAAAGCATATTTCAAAATGAAAAATAAAAATGAGAATAAAGTTGCATTTTATTTAAGTGATGGTAATGGTGTGGAATTTTGTTCACTGGGACTGAGTAGCTTAACAATGAAGAAAAATTTTCTTCATTTTTTTCCCACTTAATTCTGGATGAAGAATTGAGAGGTATTTTAATGAATGTAATCCCTAATTATAAATGATGATATATTTTTAATTATACTACTTATTAAATGACCTATCTCTGTAATTCTCTTATATTTGCTTTTTAGGGTAAAGTAGCTGAACGTGGTACCCACTATGGTTTGCTTGCTAACTCTGGCAGTATCTATTCAGAAATGTGGCACACACAGAGTAGCCATGTGCAGAACCATGATAACCGTAAGTGGGACACAAAGAAAGAAAATGTGTCCAAAGAGGAGGAAAGGAAGAAACTACAGGAAGAAATTGTCAACAGTGTGAAAGGCTGTGGAAACTGTTCCTGCTAATTCATAAGAAATATTTTCTTTTCAATCTTTGGACTGCACTTCAAGTACAATTCACTGATGAAGCAGAATTGTTAATTAAAACAAAAATCACACATTTCCATTTTCTATAATCCTTTAAATAATGTATAAGATTTACTTAAAGGAGGATTTGAGTTTAACATCTTTCACTCTATTCAATGTGGTATCTGTATTTATCCCAGATTATTTCTTATTACTTCTGCAGATATGCTCAATGCATAATTTTTGTGTTAACATTTTAGTTTACCTCATAACTCTTTTTTTTTCCTTTGGTACCAGGATCGAACTCAGGTCCTTGTGCTTGCGAGGCAGTCACCAGAAACACTGAGCTAAATCCCTGGCCCCTCATAACTCTTTTTGAGGCCTGACATCCGTAATCAGATATATCAGATTAGATTCCAGATTTTTATTTCTAAAACCTTTGTGGTCACAGTTTGGAAAAAAGTATCTTTTTCTTGAAATTATAGAAGAGAGGCAATGTAGGTTCTCTTTTCTTTTCTCCTCTTCCAATCAAAATACTTCATTAATGTGGAAATTAGTTTATAAATATAATTAGAACTTGTGAGAAATAGACATCCATTTATAGTTTGGATATCTTAATAGATACCTATAATTCAAGTTTTGGAATTTCAACTTTCTTTGTACTGTACATTTTAAAAGAAAAACTTGAATTCTCATGTTTGTGTGTAGAATATTAATCTTTAACATAATAACACACCTAGGAATTGGAATTTCATTCTCCCCCCAAATGTGGCAATGTTTTTGTCTTGAACTAAAATTTATGCATTGTACTTTAAACACTTATAAACCTTAATATGATTTGACAGTTGCTATACTGGGAGTGATCGAAAAAGCTTAGGATATTAATAGCCTTTGCTGTTTCCACCTAAAACACACTCCTTTTGCTATCTAAAGTTATATTAACAAACAAATACATAGTGTGTTGTGTACATGCACATGTGTGTGAATAAATAACTATCCATTTAAAAATTATTAAATTAAATACCTTTGGTAAATAGAAAATTTTATATCTATCTATCTATCTATCTATCTATCTATCTATCTATCTATCTATCTCCAGGACTCTCAATCTATATTGACGTTTTAAGCCTAATATAAGAAGGAGCCCAAACAATTTAATCAAGCTTTACTGGGGGAAAATATTTTATCTGTTGGAAATAATTATTAAAATGATGATAGATGTTCACTTAGGAAATTATTCTTGCCAGGCATGGTGGCATCATCAGTAATCCCACCACTTGGGAGTCTGAGGTAGGAGGATCGCCGTGAGTTTGAGACCAGCCTAGCCTACACAGAGAGACTCTGTCTCAAAAAAAAAATAAAGTGTGATGGTGTATACACCTGTAGCTCCAACTTCTCCGGAAACTGAGGCAGGACGATCACTTAAGCCCAGCAGTTAAGGCCAGTCTGAGCAACGTAGCAAGACGACCCTACCTCTCAAAATTTAAAAGAAAAAAGTTCCTCTCTTTTCTAGTGTGAATTTGCCTTAATTTGTTGGGTAGTAATTGTTCAGTTTGAAAAACTTGTGTGTCTTGCAAATGGTCTTATAACTATATATAATGAAATTTTATATCTCAGGAAAGGTTCTAATTAATTATTTTATTGGTTTATGATTTTAATGTGCTTTTAATGATAATTTAGTATAAAAGATTAATATGCTTTGTTCTGTGTTGTTGACATTGGTGAATAAATATCTCAATTTGTCTATCAAGACAGTTTAGTAACTTGGGCCACTAGTATTTCATAGTCAGAAGTAAGTGATTTCAGCCAGAGGAAATGATGGAGGATCTTGATTTTTACAGTTGAAATGAACATTGAGATGCATAATGAACTACAAAAAAAAGCTTGGGTTTTTTTTTTTTCTTTGATGTTTTTAACCTGAAGTAGTAGATAATTGTTGCTGTTCTAAAGGGGGAAAACACCAATTCCTTTAAATAAATTAGCTACATTACTGGAAATGTGGTTACAACCTAGACAGAAATTTTGTATCTCTGTTAATTTTTTCTACACATTTCCAATGATGCTGATGGAAATAATTTAGCTTAATTGCATGAATATTAATCATTAGTAATAACTCCTTTTGAAGTATTAAAAGCAGCATTCAAAGAAAGTTATTTTGTGAGGTGAGAAACATTTAGTCCAAGAGGGTAGGAATGTTTTCAGGTTGTGGATAATTTTTCCACTAAGATTTTTTTGGAGGTAGGAGTTAAGACAGGATCTTGCTGTGTAGTTCATTCTGGCCTTGAACTTGCAGTGATCCTCCTGCCTCAGCCTCCTAAGTGCTGAGATTACAGGCACGTGCCACCACACCCAACCACTAAGAGTTTGAAGCTGATTTAATTTTGTGTGATTGCATGTCCCTAGTCCATTGTGGTCATTAACCAGCATTTTCAGCTCATAAGAAAGTAAATTACCTGGAAACAGTTATTGTAAGCATTGTAGCTGAGTCACAAAGACATTTCTCTTAAAACCACATTATATTAAGGTAATTCTACACAGGGAAATAATACATTAAGTTGAAAGAAAAGCTTCCTAGGATGATTCACTCATAGGAAATGCCAAGAAAAAGGGCATGTAATTATAATGAATTGATTTTACATTACAGCATTACATACACAAAAGGATAATGTGCATACATTTTAAAATAAGTGTTGGAACGATTTTGTTAATGTATTGGGAATAATAAGCTACAGTTTTGGAATTTGAGCTCTAAAAATTGGGCAAGGTGATAGGGTTTTATTCTTACTGTAAATTCCTTTATTTTGAACCCCAAAAAATGTACTTTCCTCCTAAAGAGAATTCCAGTTTACAAAAATTAACTTGAAACCAAGGTAATTTGGGATCAGTTTTTAACTGGACCAGGTGCCTTACTGAAGTTTCTTAACATAGAAATATCTTGGTGAGCAGATGGACTCATTTGAAAATTTTTGAAGAGCACAAGTCTGAGGGTCACGCGTGAGAATTAAAGAGAAGCCTTTAAGCATTTGTACATGAATAAGGTCAAGATAGTCATTTACTTTTCCTCTGCAGGAATTTACACTTTCATATACCTTAAGTATTTTGTCTTTCCCATCATTGTGGACAAAGCCCGGTTTGTGAAGATGTGAAGATAGCAAAGTATTTAAGATTGTATGGTTCCTTATTTCTAAATCATTTTGTTTATATTGCTATCTTGCTCCCATCCTTCCTATTTGCTGAATATATGTCAGTGAGTATCAACTTTTGCCATTGGATATTCATAGTTTTCTTTCCTTGGAACATTATTACAGTACATTCTGTTTTAAGTTAGTAGTTGAAAGTATTTAAATATTCTTGGAATTGTAGTTTTCTTAAATTATAGAAAATTCCATTGTTTCCCATCTTTGAGTATATACATTTTTTATAGTAAATGATAATATTAAGTCAAATAAGCTGGTTAAAACTGCCTAGGACAGAACAACTCAGTCAAGGTAGCTCTTACCACAGTTTTAATGTTTATGACAACATGTCTGGATAATCATTACTAAATAAACATTATGCCTTTCTGACTAGAAATCGGTGTCCAATTTAAACAACTCTTTTCTGCAATGCCAGGGAAAACTAACATTTTAACATTTACACACTCTAAATACAGATAATTAATAGATATTCTGGAAGTATGACCTTATAGCCTTATTCAAAATGTGAAAATTTGGCATTTTTTTCAGACAGAAAGTAATAATATGCAGAACTCATAATGTGGGCAGATTGTAGTGATTTCATTTAGCATTAAGATGTCATATTTTAATGACCAGTTTGTGAATGTTATAACCACTGTAAAGGAATATTGTGAATAAGTTAGTGTCAACAAATTAGATTAAATCAACAAATTCATGGACACAAACTGTCAAAACTGACTCCAGAAAAATTATACACTTCAAATAGATCTATAACAAGTAAAGAGATCATTTTATTAATGAGAACTCACAAAGAAAACCCCAGGCCTAGATGGCATTACCCCTGAATTCTTCCAAACATTTACGGAAAGATTAGTAAGAGAGAGAAAGAAGTGCTTCACAACGCATTGTGAGGCCAGTATTATTCTGATATCACAGCCAAAGACAACATAAGGAAACAAGAGTCATGCAGCAATCCTCAACAAAATAGTAGCAAAGTGAGTCCTACAACATTTAAAAAGGATTGTACAGTATGACCAAGTGGAATTTATCTCAGAAATGCAAAGTTAATGTAACATTCAGAGAAATCAATATAGTATACTATTAATAGAATAAATGACAAAACCATATGATCATTTCAATAAATTCAGAAAAAACAGTTGGTAAAATGGAACTTTTACATGATGAAAAAATGCCTAATAAACTAGACATGTAAATATTTCTCAGATATCTTGTACTCTGAGTATTTTGAATGTAATACAGTGTATTCACTTACTATTTTGTTGTAACATAACTTGAAAGGTAATGGCAAAATCAGTTTAACATCATACTTAATTATGAAAAACTACTGAACTCCTAAATCAAGAATGGGACAGGAATGTTGCTCTTACCAATTTTATTTGGTACTTTTCTAAATGTTCTAGCCAGGGAAATTAAGAAATAAAAATAAATTTGGATGACCCTTGCTTCCTAATTGCAAAACTTAACTCCAGAAATGCAGTAATCAAGATACCTGTGGCCTTAGCATAAGAATGGAAATACATGTAAGTGGAATACAATTGAGAGTCCAGAAGTAGACTTTCACATTTATGGAGAGTTGATTTCTGACAAGATTACCAAAATGATTTAATCTCCAACAAATGCTTTGGACAACTGTTTATATACATGTATAATAATCAAGTTGGATTTCATACCACTTACAAAAGTTAACTCAATGTAGATCATATACTTTAAGAACTAAAATTTCAAAACTCTTAGAAAAAAACAGTAAACCTTCATAACCATGGGTTAGGCAGTGGTTTCTTGGATGTGACACCAACACAAAGAGAAAATTGATAAATTGAACATCAAAATTAACATTTGTAGTTCAAATGATGTCAAAGTAAAAGAGCAACTTTTAGAATGGGAGAAAATATTTGTAAATCGTACATCCTAACGGGGGCTGTATCAGGAATACATAAATATAATCATAATTCAGTAGTAAAAGGTGATAATCCAGTTAGAAACTAGGACGAGGATCTGATTAGAAACTCTCCAAAGAAGATATGCAAACGGCTGATAAACGCATGGAAAGATGTTCAACATCGTTAAACATTAGGGAAATGCCAACCAAAGAGTAGTAAAATAGCACATCACACTCACTGGATGGCTATAATTTAAATCACAGCAAGATTGGGAAGAAATTATAATGTTCATACATTACTGGTGGGAACATAAAAGTGGTGCAATTGATTTGGAAATCATTCTCAAAAAAGTTGTTACTATATGACTCAGAAGTTCTAGGTGTATTATCTGATAATATAAAGATACGAAGTTCTGACACCCACTACAGCATTAACCTTGTAAACGTGATGTTAAAGAAGCCAGTCACAAAAGTCCATGTATGCTTCCATTCTTGGACATACGTAGCTATAGAGGTGGAAGATAGATTAATTGCTGTTTAGGGCTGAGGATAGATGGAAAAGAGAAGGAATGGTGGAAGTATACTGACAATAGCCTATGTTGTCATGTTGTACGTGACCAGAGAAATGTGTTTCATACATATCCTGACATTTCAGTTTATTGCTAGTGTTTTTGTATTCTAATAGGTCATGCCATTGAAGTAAGAAATTGAAATCTTCAAGCAGTTTTTCTTCTGATTTTAATTATAGGAGTCTCCAGCTATTTCCAAAGGTTTATTTACCATACTTTTAATGAAGACGATTTTTTAAAAAACAAGATGCTGCCTTTAACTGAAGTCATGTAAAAATGACCCTCCTCCCACTATTAGTATTAGATGCAATGTTGTCTATAAAGGAAATCCATTGCATAAATTAGAAGCTGTAAGTTTATACTTAGAATGCAAAGAATGTA